TTTTTTTTAATTTTTTTTTTTTTCTTTCTCCACTCAGTGAATTCAGCAAAGCCTCGGAGGTGGTGAGTTTTGTAGGAAATCACATCACCATCAGGAGGGCAGATGGTTCCCTGCTCCACCTTCACATCTCCCCTTACCCTGCCATCCTCCACAGCTACTCCGGCTCCTCCAGGTGGGAGGACGGGCTCAGGCTCTGTCGTTTTGTCCAGGTAAAGTTGATTTTTTTTTTTTTTTTTAATTTTTTTATTTTATTCCCATCCCATCCAATGAGATATTGATGGTTTGGAAGGTTTATTTTGCGTTGGGCAGTTTGTTTCAGGTTTGTTTTGTCGCTGCTCGTGTGAAGTGATGTGATTTTTCTGAATTTCTGGATGAAATTAATTCCATCATTCCCGGCATAAATAATAATTCTTGGTTTTAGTCACGCCAGAATCCAGCTGGATTCAACACAGGTGCTCAGAAAATTCAGTTCTAAACTTCAATTTCCACGTCTGGGCCTGAATATAACCAATTAAAAGTGACATTTCCACAATCACCTGTTAATTTCCATATTTTATTTCACTTCTTTTTTATTTTTTTTTTCCTTTTCCATTTGTTTAGACAACAGGAACAGATGAGGTGAGTGTGGTAGTTTTTAAAACGACCAAAATCCCTTCAAACCTTCCTCCCCATTGATTCCTAGAGAAGTTTAGCACCTTAAATGTGTATTTCAGATATTTGTGTGACCAATTATTAAAATCAATGCACATCCAGATAATTTGGATTGCATGATTAGAATTAATTGTAACAGAATCTTTATTTACAGTGTCCACATCACCTGTTGTAAGCATCCAAATCAGAATATTTTGATTTTGGCAGCCCAGATAGAGAATAAAAATTATTTCCAATCAGGAATAACAAAATGGATCATATTTCTGAGAGGGGAAAAAAAAAAAGCAGCAAAAAACAACTTGGAAGCATCAAGGAACAACTCCTGGAAATTTCATTTTCTGGATAATTTCAGGCTGAGCTTTTAACTTTTTATCAGCTTTTTCTTTTCTAAATAAAGTTGAAGTGGGAAGAGAAGGTGACAAAGATTTTAGGAGCGTTTGATTCTCTGAATAATCTTAATTTTCCCAAATTTTGAGCTTCCTGCAGGAGGGTTTGTCCTGAGTGATGGAAAAGTCAGCTGGGAAATGTGGGAATGTGTTGAGAACATTCTCAGTGCAGCTGTAAATTCTGATTTCAGTCAAAACTCATCCTTCTAAAAACCCTTCACAGTGCAAAGTCTGAATTTCCAGATTTGTTACTGAACACACTCAAAAAAAAAAAAAAAAATTTAAATACCTCCTTAATTCCTGGACTAGCACATCCAAAATTGCATTTTTCTTGTCTGAATGGAGTTTTAGATGTAGTAGTTTAAAGTGTATTAAAATGTGATTTATTATTGTGTCTGTGTCATAATGTCGTCACTTGAAAATCCATCAAAATGTCATTTAGGATCTTCTAGAATCTTGAGTTCATGGGCTTTCCTCGAGGTAAAATACCCCAAAAAAAACCCCTCACAGAAACAATAAAAGAAATAAAAATAATAAATATAATAAAAAGGTAAAATATTATTATTATTATTACCACAATTTCCTAACGAGACGCCTTGAGCGCAGTGCCACGAACCAGAAATGTAACAACATCACAACATCTGTGTGTTTGCTTGGAGGAACCATTTGCAGCAGGATAATAAAGATTTCAAAGTTTATAAGTTGTTTTTATTTAAAATTTCAGGATCAGACCCTTTGGGCTTGTTTGGCTGCCATGGCAGTGGCCAAGCAGGACATGACCACAGCTGAAATCGCTTACGCTGCCATCGGCGAGGTAACAAAAATACCACTCCAAAATGAAATGAAATCCTAATTAAATCGTTCCAAAAACCTTGTTGATGAATGAATTTCTTTGCTGTCCTCTTCCTGGGCAGATTGACAAAGTTCAGTACATCAATTCCATCAAGGATCTGCCATCCAAGGAGTCCAGGTTGGCTCACATGTTGCTTTTCAGTGGTAACACCCAAGAGGCTGAAACGTTGCTGCTTCAGTCAGGTCTGATTTACCAGGCTATCCAAATCAATATTCAACTTTTTAACTGGGAAAGGTAGGATTTGTAAATTTTTTTTTTTTTTTTTCCCTCATTAAAAATGGTTTTTCTAATTCGTTCCATCAGTTGTTTTATTGCTGACTCGGTTGTTTTTAATCGCCCACAATTTAAAAAAAAAAAAAACAAACCCAAATTAAATCATAAGCTGACAACAACAAAAAAATACCCCAACATTTTTGTGTCATATTTAGAAAATACGAATATTTGGTGATAAAAGCCTTAAATACTCCTGGGAGCATTTTTGAAATAATATTTTGCTTTCTCATCCCTCAGTGATGGCTGAAATGTCTCGCTGCTAAAAATAAACCTGGGGCTGCTCAGACTCCCAGCATTGTGTAGGTGGAGAAAAAATGAATTAAGGCTGAGAAAACAAAGGAGGAATTTCTCTCTTTAAACAAAACCCCCACATTTTCTGACAGAATCCCCTCGAGTTGTTTTTTTTTTCCTAATTTTTTTCTGCTGTTGTATTGGATTTTTCCCCCACAAATCTGTAATTTTGTTTTGTTCTGAAGCTGTGTCAGGGGAGGTTCGAGCTGGGTATTAAGAAAAGAATATTCTTATATTCTATCATCTAAAAACTCTCTGTAAATCAAATATCAGTGTTCTCAAGCCATTGGGAAGAAACCATCAGCTAATGAATTAAATTAATCCAGTGACTGATCTTTTCCACCTATATATTTATAAATATTATATAGAATATATCATTAATGTGTATTATGAGTGTTCAGAACCTATTTCTGACTAGAAAAAAAGTCATTAAACATTATTAATTTTGTGCTAAACTCTGACAAATTCTACATTTCCATGAAATAAAAAACCTCCTGGGCTCAAATTAATGATTAGTGATGAGATTATCAATGGAATAATTATTGGCTATTTTCCATCTCTGGCTACCTTGAACCTCCTGATCCTATTTGGGATTTCTCAGAATTTCTACAAAACCTTGGTGATGTAGCAGAGCATTTCCCAATGGCATTCTTGATGTTTTATTGCATTTCCCAAATCCATTCTTGCTCTTCTATTGCATTTCCCAAATCCATTCTTGTTTTTTTTAATTCCATTTCCCAAATCCATTCTTGCTGTTTCATTGCATTTCCCCAAATCCATTCTTGCTTTTTTCTTATTGCATTTCCCAAAGGCATTCTTGATGTTTTATTGCATTTCCCAAATCCATTCTTGTTTTTTTATTGCATTACCCCAAATCCATTTTTGCTGTTTCATTGCATTTCCCCAAATCCATTCTTGATAGTTTTTTATTACATTCCCCAAATCCATTCTTGCTTTTTTTAATTGCATTTCCCCAAATCCATTCTTGCTTTTTTTTATTGCATTTCCCCAAATCCATTCTTGCTGTTTTATTGCATTTCCCAAATCCATTCTTGCTTTTTTTTTATTGCATTTCCCCAAATCCATTCTTGCTGGGTTTTTTTATTCCATTCCCCCAATCCATTCTTGCTATTTTAATTCCATTTCCCCAATCCACTCTTGTTTTTTTATTCCATTCCCAAATCCATTCTTGGTTTTTTTTTTATTGCATTTCCCCAATCCATTCTTGCTATTTTAATTCCATTTCCCCAATCCATTCTTGCTTTTTTTTATTCCATTCCCCAATCCACTCTTGTTTTTTTAATTCCATTTCCCCAAATCCATTCTTGCTGTTTTTTTTATTCCATTCCCCCAGTCCATTCTTGCTATTTTAATTCCATTCCCCCAATCCATTCTTGCTATTTTAATTCCATTCCCCCAATCCATTCTTGCTATTTTAATTCCATTTCCCCAATCCATTCTTGCTTTTTTTTATTCCATTCCCCAATCCTTTCTTGTTTTTTTATTCCATTCCCCAATCCACTCTTGTTTTTTTATTCCATTCCCCCAATCCATTCTTGTTTTTTTAATTCCATTCCCCCAATCCATTCTTGTTTTTTTATTCCATTCCCCAATCCACTCTTGTTTTTTTATTCCATTCCCCAATCCATTCTTGCTATTTTTATTCCATTTCCCCAATCCATTCTTGCTGTTTTTTATTCCATTCCCCAATCCACTCTTGTTTTTTTTATTCCATTCCCCAATCCACTCTTGTTTTTTTTATTCCATTCCCCAATCCATTCTTGCTGTTTTTATTCCATTCCCAAATCCATTCTTGCTGTTTTTCATTCCATTTCCCCAATCCACTCTTGCTGTTTTATATTTTAGAGCCCTGGAGCTGGCAGTGAAGCACAGGACTCACGTGGACACAGTCCTGGCTTACAGACAGAAATTCCTGCAAGATTTTGGGAAAAAAGAAACCAACCCCAGGTTTTTGCAATATGCACAAGGTGTAAGTGACCCCCAGCTCCTCCTGCACAAAGGGGAAATTGGGACAGATTTTCATATTGGGATGCTTGGCCAGCAATTGCTGGGCGTGGGTTTTAGTTCAAGATTTGCTATAGATAAATAGATATTAAATATTTATTTATTTATTTGAAAATTTGCTCTCTATGGATAGATAAATCGATAGATATTAAATATATATTTATTTGAAAATTCGCTCTATATGGATAGATAAATAGATAGATATTAAATATATATTTATTTGAAAATTCATTCTGTATAGATAGATAAATAAATAGATATTAAATATATATATATTTTTTTGAAGATTCACTAGATATAGATAGATATTCAATATATATATATTTATTTGTTTGAAGATTCACTAGATATAGGTAGGTAGATATTAAATGTATATATATTTATTTGAAAATTCACTAGATATAGATAGATAGATATTAAATATATATATACTTTTGAAGATTGACTAGATGTAGATAGCTAGATATTCAATATATATATATTTATTTGTTTGAGGATTCACTAGATATAGATAAATAGATAGATATTAAATTTATATTTATTTATTTGAAGATTCACTAGATATAGACAGTTATATAGTGATAGGTAGATATTAAATAGATTTATTTATTTATTTGAAGATGCACTAGATATAAATATTAAATATATATATATTTGAAGATTCACTAGATATAGATAGATATTAAATATATATATTTATTTGAAAATTCACTAGATATAGATAAATTGGTATAGATATTAAATATATATATTTGAAGATTCACTCTATATAGATAGATAGATAAATATTAAATTTATTTATTTATTTGAAGATTAACTAGATATATAGATAAATACAAATATATATTAAATATATATGGTATATATTTTATAGGTAATATATCTATTTATACTACAAATATATTTCTATATATATATTTATCTAGTTATTTTCTACAAACAGGGAGCTAAACCTCACCATGGTTCAGTGAGTCCCCAATATTCCCAATATTTTGGTGGCATTTTTTGGATAGAAACAGGAGCAGCCTTTGGAGGAATGTGGATCTTGATGAAGTTCAATCCATTCTGATCAATCCAATCAAGAATTCAATGTACCTGTATTGGAAACCCTCAGGCTCACTCATCAATAAATCAATTTATTGCCATTTCAGAGGTGCTGAAATTCAGGAGCTGACTCTTGGATTCCTCTGGAATATTTCCCTCAGGAAAGGCACAATTCCACAGAGGAATTTCCATGATTCCTCAGCGTTCTGAGGGGAAAAATTCTATAAAAAAATAAAAATATTTAGTGTGTGTGTGTGGAATCCTTTTATCCACTGAGCTGGGATTTCACCTCCTGCCTTGGACACTGCCCCCAGCACTGGCAATAAAACTGGATTTTTAATGGAGCTTTTAGCACTTTTTAAATATTCTCATTTCCTAAAAAAAAAACAAAACCTCAGCCCCTTAATGAACCATTGCACAGGAATTGACCTGGAAAATACAGAAAAATAAAGAATATCTTCCAAACATTTTTATCCTGCAGCTTTTCCAGCTGCTCTGCTGCAAGAGTGTGTTCTGGAAAAGCCATTATGGAGCAAAAATCACAATTCCCTGATAATCCTGATTTTCTTAAAATCCCCTGATAGACATTCCCTGATAATCCTGATTTTTTTTTTTAATCCTGGAGAAAGCTGTAGAATCCAAAAATCCAAAATCAAATCCCATACAGACATTCCCTGATAATCCTGATTTTTTTTTTAATCCTGGAGAAAGATGTAGAATCCAAAAATTCCAAAATCTATTCCCTGATAATCCTGATTTTTTAGAAATCCCTTGATAGACATTCCCTGATAATCCTGATTTTTTTTTTTTAATCCTGGGGAAAGATGTAGAATCCAAAAATCCAAAATCTGTTCCCTGATAATCCTGATTTTTTTAAAAATCCCCTGATGGACATTCCCTGATAATCCAGATTTTTTTTTTTAAATCCCAGTGAAAGCTGTAGAATCCAAAAATCCAAAATCCATTCCCTGATAGGAGGGATCCACATAATGTAAATTTTAATTTTTTTTTTTTTTTTTTCAATAATTAAATTCTTCATGCAACCTGTCAGACTCACAAAACAAAATCAGAAAGAAATTAAAAAGAAAAACCAAAATTTTGTGTTGCTGTTCCTTCTCAGGGCTAAAAAAGGGTCTCAGGTTCCCTCCCACACCCTCCAACCTCTTCAGGCTTAAATCAGGAATTTTTTTTTCCTTTTTTTTTTTTCTGTAACCAGGCAAGATCTAAAATATAAAATTGTGTTTATTTTATATATCAGGTTTTTAATTCCTTCCCCATATCCTGAGAATCCTGGACACAGTCAATGCCTCTAAAATGAGATAAAATTATTATTTTCACCTGAGAATATTGGTATTTAATGCCTCTAAAATGAGATGTAATTATGATATTTTCACCTCAGAATGTGAATATATTTTATTTCACTTTCCCTCTTAGAAAATCTCCCCTTTTATTCCATTACTTAATTCCAGAGGAAAATTCCCTGTGCAGCCTTGGAAATTCTTCTCCCATCCCACCTTTGCCAACGTTCATTCTCCAGCAATAAACTGAATAAAAATAATTGCACAATGCCATTTTTGGACTTATTTTTATGGCACCATCATGATTTTTTTTTTTTTACTTTATTATGTATTTTTTTTGGGGGGGAAAAACAAATTTCCTCCCCAATTTTGTGCTGGATTTCCTGAGTTTTCACTGACACAAAACGCAACCAGGAAAAAAAAAAAAAAAAATCAATTTTCTGCAGCTGGAAAAAAATTCCAAGGTTCCGACTAAAACATTGATTGATGCAAAAGGGCAGTGCCAAGGAGGAATC